CCCCCGGTGGACAGTAGCAGACTCTAAAATGAGAAGCAGATTCAGAGTTCCACATGAGGTTATTAATTAGCAAATAATATAAATATTATAAGCGTAAACATTAGGTGAGCAGGTTGCATTGATGAGATTTGCAGTGATAAGCAATTTGGCTGTTTGCACCTGATGAAAAACGACAGAAATTTAAATACAGTCATTCAGAAGCACAGAATATGCACTTACTTACGTAATGGTAAGGTTTATAATCTAATTTATACATATTAAACCTCTTTAAGAATATTAAATGTACATGCTGTATCACTAAGTGTTAGTTTTGAGTCACAGCTCTGAAGTTCAATTTCAAACAGTTTATTTTATTTTCAAGATCTGAGGTGAGCTATCTGCTGCTGCTTTCTGTATATGGCAATAAATGTAATGTAAAATGACATTCAAACTAACATTATTAGCATTTAACACTGAATAAAGCATATAAGGTGTACATGAGGTCATCATTGTCAGTTTTCTGTTGTTCAGCTGCAAGAAATAAAAGCCGTCTCTAAAATACCAATTTGAGGTGTTGGTTAGAACTGAAACTTTTAATATGAAAATGTCCCTTCTATCACGTGCCATTGGTTTTTATAGAACAGAATTTAAATCTGCCTTGAGAAAGCCTTTAGGCTCGATCGTCAGACTCACTCCTTTTAGTCCTCAATTTGGCAACCTGTGCTTGTGTTTGTCTTGATCCAGGAATGCAATATCTAGTGCAACCACTGGGTGTCCAACTTACATACTGCACATTTAAGAATTTTTAGATATTTGTGTTAGAAACAAGACAGAAAATCTAAGTAAAATAATCTTTTTTTTTTTTTTTTGCAGTGAATTAGGCATAAATATTTAGTTTTCGGTTATTTTTGTAGTATCACAATCTACCTACCTCACATTTCCCATTGTCTCAGACCCCTCTAAACGACAGCTGCACAGCACATCCAGCGGTTCATGGGGTGAAAAGAAAGAGAGGGAGAGAAAACTCAAAGTGTGAGACTTTATTGTGTTAAACAAAGGCCTATGACTCAGTATTAAAAATATGGCAGCTGTTGTACCCACTGCAAGTGCCAGTTCCAAATGCCTCTGCATGTGTGGTTCAGTCATATTTTTAATCACAAGAATGTTAACAGCATTTTAAAAATTGATTTGTCTTTTTTTCATCTCTGTGCTTTTTCCAGCCACAAGGCAACATTGATACAAAATCAGACAAATAACTTCTTACAAAATGTATAATACTTCAGATAACTATTAACTTGTGAATCTCACAAGAATCACTGCTTATTAATAGTACAACAGTTGTTATAAGGCAGAGTTAAGGAATCTAGAATATGGTCATGAAGAATGCATAAATGTGTTATAAGAACAATAAAAACATAGTTTACTTATAATAAGATTGTTAATAATTATCTAAGCTAAATCAATTTTGAGTTCCCTATATTTCCTTAACTTTTTTCAAAAATAAATAAATATAAAACAAATGAGGGCAGCACAATGGCTGAGTGATTAGCACTGTTGACTCACAGCAAGAAGGTAGCTGGTTTGAGTCCCGGCTATATCAGTAGGCATTTCTGTGTACAGTTTGCATGATCTCCCCTTGACCGAATGGGTTTCCTCCAGGTGCTCCGATTCGCCCACAGTCCAAAGACATGATAAATTGGCCGTAGTGTATAAGTGTGAATGTGTGTGTGTGTCTGTGTGTGTGTGTATGTTTTCCAGTGATGAGTTGCAGCTGGAAAGGCATCCACTGCTTAAAACATGCTGGATAAGTTGGCGGTTCATTCAGCTGTGGCGACCCCAGATGAAATAAAGGGACTAAGCGAAAAGATAATTAATGAATGATTGTAATTCTATGACGATTCATGATAATAAATGTGTATTCTTTTTGTAAAACCATGATTCATTTACTAGGATTGACATTTATTAGGCTAGTTAATAAGTTAATCTGTTAAAAAGAACACAAAAACAAAACAAAGTAAAAATGCATGTAAAAATAAATTACTAAATGAAATACTTACACCGCGTGGTTTCCTTGCTTTCAAAGGTTCAGGCTCAAAAAAACCTGCCAACTCTTGAACTGACCCAAATGTTTTTGTTTATTTATTTGCCACATTCAATGTAATAATCTGTATAGCCACATTTTAACCTACAATTAAACATTTTTCTGTTTATCATTTTGGTGAGGGCGATTTCAGTCACAGAGAAATATTTAAAGAACAATGTGGGTATCTACGTGATTGGAGATACAGTTTTAAAAATATATCAGATGCATGGTAAAACAAAACATCTAAAATAACCCCTTCATGTGACGAAGCTCTCAAATTGTGTAAAGGCGGTATTAACGGACGCCTAAAGGTCCTGCTCAGCGTCGACTATATAAACTGCACTCTGCCTTCAGAGAGTTCTCAGTGAACGCGGGTGTGCAGTAGCCTGCAGAGGTGAGGAGTTCGATAATGTCTTTTCTTTGTTTTCCCTCTTCAATTGTGTATTTGGTAATTACTTTTTAGTGTATTTGTTATACGTGTTTATTTTAAAGTGGTAGTTCATAATGTATTAGCGAAAGATGCTCTTTTATCGACACCACGTGGTGTGGGTAAATGCTCGAACCTTGCTAAATCTTGCTACGACGTACTTGCACGGTCGTTTAAATGAAACCATTCTGCATTTACTTACTTTTTTTCCTCGTATTTTTGTTTCAGAATACCAAGTATTTAGACGATTCATCAAGACTGACTGGAGGTGAGATACAGTGTCATTGCTCATGAAGTAACTTGAAGTTTGTGGTAAATTTGTGAAACGCTTCAGTGATGTTTAGCACTGGGCTCTGAGTTCATGTGTAGACAAAAGTGCAGTTTTGCTCTTGACATGGCAGAACCTGAGAAGTGTAAATGTAATATGAAGTTGTATTAAAGTAATTTAACGTGACGAGTAATCAGCCTTTTCTGTTCTTCTAGAGGGGAGTCTGCTGAGCTGTGAGTGACCTGTGGATGAGCCTTTTTTTTTTTTTTTTTTTTTTTTTTTTACTTTTTTCCCTGCAATTTATTTTATCTTTTTGCCCGTTCTTTTTTTTATTGTGTAAGTTTCCTTTGTTCTCTGAAAACCAATAAATGAGACTTTAAAACTGCAAGATCTATATTTTAGTTTTTTTTAACATTAGATTGAAGCCATTTTAATATTAAAGGGGTAAAATCTAGAAAGCATGTTACTGGAAAATGTAGGACTTGAGCCTTTTGAGGTACACGTGGTTCTTGTCCAGCAGTATACATTTTCTTCCTTGTGAACAAAGTCTGGCATTTAAATTTTGTATTAACTCTTATATTTAGGAATTGTTTTATAAGTGTGGACCGTTTAAATTTATTTAAATCAGTAGTTGAATAAGGTTAAAATGGTAAAGGGAATTTTATTTCCTGCAACGTTAAGCAAATGTAACTTTTGAACCACTTATAATTTATCAACATTCTTAAATATCTTGGTTTAACAAACTGACCAGTTTGACCAATTTGTTTTTTTGGGTTGAACCATCTGTGGAATAAGCATGCCCCTTTGCATAAAAATCTGCATAGTAAAACAGTTTGACAGACGAAGACGATCTTGAATGGCTGCTGAATTCCACTGATGTTAAAAATGAGGCTACTGCGATTAGGGGAAAAAGTACTTTGAGAAATCAATCAATGCTGGAGTTCAGTTCCAGCATTTAACAATTATCGTTGTCGGAGTCTCTCCAACAAACTTACCCCAATCTGGCATTTTCTAACTGGTGATAAAAAGGGAGGAATGAATTTTTTTTATTAAGTTGTAAATAACAGTAACTGGGCATTAGATAAAAGTAAAGAAACTAGTATGGCAAGAAGTGTTCACATTTAATTTATAATCCATACTAGTGTGTATGTATATTCATGTTACTAGTACCCTTTCCATTAAGTAACAATGCTTATTAGACTTTTTTTTTTTTTTTTTTTTTAAATACACTAGTGCTTCTTTATTAGACACTTTATTAGAAACTGCTACCCATGTACTGTTTTTATATACTAACTACCAGTACATAAAATATGTACTAGTCCCAACTAGAATACCTACTTCTAGTCAACTGAATAGCGCTAATCTTAAATCTCAAAAATAAAAAGGAATTAGTGTTTGTGTAAGCACTAGTATGTATTCTAGTTGGGACTAATACTTAAAAACAGTTCGAACATAATAGTATCTAATAAAAAAAGAACTACCGTCTAATGAGTAAGCACTAGTATCTTAAGCATTAGTACTTAATGGAAAATTTACTAGTATACATAAATTAGTAACAGAATAGTTATCAGTCACTATTAAAATAAGTACTAGAGTCTATGTAAAATGCACTAGTATCTAATAAAGAACTATAGTGTCTAATAAGTACTAGGCCTTATTGGAAAATACACTAGTATCTAAAAAAATAAATACTAGCAACAGGAAACTAGATATAGCCAGGGTTATAAATTAAATGTCAAAACAATTTGCCATAACCGATGGTTTAAAAAAAAAATTCCAGAAGCTATCCCAACACTGTATTTTCCCCATGTAAATGCACCCATAAAGTCATCAGTTCATTATTAGAAACCCCAAGAACTAAAATGTGTGTATTAGTCAAAGGAGAAATGCAATCCTGAGGGGTACTCCAGGAATGTGGTTGAGAACGTCTTTAGATGAAAAAACAGGAAGAAAAAAAGACTAAGGAAAATGTCAACATATTTCTGGGAGGATAAAAAAAACTTGCACAGATCGTTGTCTTTAAAATTCCAAATCATTTTCTGATCTTAACTTAGTATGTTGCCTTGGTAAAGACAGCTGAATGATATTTGGAACGTTGTGAATGAGTCTCTCGGTTATTCTGGGTGCATTCCTTTTAAATGGACAGTTCACCCAAAAATAAAAAATATCCTCGCCATTCATTCTCCCTCATGTGGTTGTAAACCATTTACATTAAACAATAAAGTAAACAGACCACAAGCCACTCAAAGTAATTCCTGCATCTTTTATTATAATTCTAATAACCTTTATTCATTTCTTAAAACATTTTCATATGTGTATTTGAATAGGTATAATCGCATACACATATATTCTGTAAATAACCTCTTATGTGTTCATAATTTCTTCATTTTAAAAGAAAAAAAAAAAGAGATGCTTTCTGCACACCCTGGACGGCTACTGCATAACTGCTCGTGTGTTTGACCTGTGAGCTCTATCCCGTCCCACACTGTCCAGACTCTATTGGCCATGTGATCTTCAATGTTCGTGTATTATGGATAACAGTTATAAGAAGATGTTAAAAATATGGCGTGTGGAGCTTGAGGGCTTAGAAAGACCAAAATGTCCTATCTTTTTTGCCATGGTCCAATCTTTCATTCAGACGCTAACTAGGGAAGAGAACTGTGTTTTTACTCCACCTAGTGGACAATACAGGTAAGTGAGGGTATTTACCAGTCATCAGGGTACAACACCAGCCGCGTTTGATGTGAATCAATTCGATGAACTGTGGAAAGATGAGACAACAGGGGACACAGGATGTGTAGAAAGCATGATTCCAATACACATTAAAACTCATGTTAAACATTTGGAAGACAGAGATTCTTTAAAACTCGGAATCCTTTTTTTTCCATCTCAGAATAATAATTTCATTCATTGTCCTTACTGTTATCAACATCACTATACTTACCAGATTTAAACATATAAAAAAAAATACAATTAGTTCCTCAATCTTTTTGTCCAGTATGAGTAAGGTAAAGTGAGCAGTATGATGAATGAAGATGCCACACTCTTAGAAGATGAACAGATGAAAGATATGGAGATGGAGGGGATGAGATCTTTACTGATGGTTCTGAAAGAGAGACAGACAGGAAAGTAAGAAGAGTGAAGGCGTCGGTGTTTTGGATGAAAGTAATGACTAAAAGGAAGTATGTCTAAAAGGATGAGGAGCCCTTTTAATTGATTGAGCAACTATTTGTGGTGTTGGAGATGAGGGCTGGAGGTCACTAGATTTACTTATAAGTTTGTGGAAGGGAATATGAATGTAAAGGGTAAATATATGGTCACAGACAATAAACTCCTTGATAGTCCTTGCATACAATGTCACAATGTCACAATTGTGTTTCGAAAGGGGGAAGCAATAGGGTGAGGGACATTGTGAGATATGAAATCTTGTTTCTAAGTAAAATCCTAGAGGTACAAAAGGATTGAACACATTGCATGTGGTCACTCAAAAACAAAAAACAAAACAAAAACAAAGTCAAGCATAAACAGCATCCCAGCAGAAACAAACAAGAAACACTGCAGCTTGTAGAGATAACAGCAAGGACCATGAGAACAATGACTGCAATAAATAACATCATCTCTTGTTAACTCAACAATAGAATTCCAGACCCATTTAGAGTTTAAAAATTGTTATAGGAACAATCGTTGTATTAAAACAGATTAGCACGTATCCCTCACCCATGTCTGAGTGCATGTTCGTCCTGCCTCGCCTCCATAGAAAGTGTTTTGATTTTTGGAAGAAGAGAGGGAGAGTGACTTGGAAAAAGAGAAATACAGGCAGTTTGGTTTTTCCTCTCCCTCTTCTCCATGCTGTCTCCTGTTTTAAAATGGAGCCTTGATATCGTGGATAGGTTCGTTGAAGTTGTAGTTACTTCTATATTTTGACAGTCATTGGTAAAAATGTTGATAAATTTGCAGTGTGTGTATATATATATATATACTTTTCTTTTTACAATGTTGTATCATCCTTCGTTAAAAGATTTTTTGCGTATTTTGATCGTCATCTTGTTTCCGTACATAGATATTTTACTGTGTCCCATTATGTGTCATATAAATAAAAGACATGGTTGTAGTGTGTATATATATTTATATATCAGTAATCTGAGAATGTACTGTGTGTATGTTTGTATGTGGTAGAGTATTTATGTGTGTTTTCTGTTGGTCTGGGCACTTATTTTTGCTACGGGTTTGTAATACAGTGACCAGTCTGTATATATTTATATATATATATATTTTTTTTTTTTCATATATATAGAATTTCATTATAAGACATGAGAAGGTAAAGAATTTCTAGTGAAATATAAGATAAGCACAAGCCTCAATTTGGCTTTGGCAAAATAGAATCCTCCACTGGTGAGGTAAAAACACATAGGCTAACAAATCACGGTCATGCCTCTAGTGATAACCTTTCACATTATCATGTACACACACGCACACACTCATACACAAACAACAGGAACCCACGCATCAACACAGTCTTACCAAATAAGTGCCTGCCATAAAATTGACCTCTATTTTAAGGGCTTCCCTAGTCGTGCCAGACAGGAGGTTTGTCAGTACTTGTCCTTCCAGCAATGGTCTCCATTGAACCTGCTCTAAAAATGATACCCTTAGTAAATGTTTGTCAGTTCTAGACTCAGCTCAACATCTGAGAAAAAGAGAAAGACAGCAAAGGAGGTTTCAATATCTCTCTTTCTCCCTATCTCTTCCAAAAGAAAAACAGAAAAGATAAGACCATTTTGATTGTTTCCCTCAAATTATTTGGCTCAGTTATGTAGTATGTTACCTTCTCATGTTGTGAACATGTTTAATCCTACAGAGATAGATCCCCCTATGTGATTTGTTCAGTTAATTCCAATTTGACCACCTTGTGAGTGCCTGCAAGCTCAAACTAAGTGTATTTTGTTCAGAGGTTGACATGCGGATGTGTATGTGGGTGGTTATGTTTTCGTTGACTGAATCACACATGTAAGCGCAGGCGTGTTCACAGTTCAGACAGGCCGTCAACTCTCTTCTGTATCTCTCCATTCATAAGCAGGCAGTCTGATTTCAAAGTCACCTCATCCTGCTTTATTCTTCATTCAGGGAATAATCTCTGATGGCAGCAGTTGTCACCTCATCTTTCCTGTTCTCTCAACTCCGGTTGGCCTCATCTCTCCTTCTGTTTGTCCGTCCATTTCGAGGAGAGAGAGCAGAAATGGGGAAAGTGCTAGAAGACAGCCTGATGATAGGGGGGGAAGGTGGAAAGTCTTTATAAGGAAGTATTTTTCTCTTGCTCTCCCACATCCCCCTCTCTCAGTTCTCCATTTCTTTCCCCATGCCATCCTGGACCTCATGCAGTGGCCCACTCCAAGTGTTCTCTGAAGTTAGCAATCAATAGCATATCAAGAGTTACCTTAAGTATAATAGCTTTTTTGCTCATGCACTACCCCTCACCCTAATCCCTTTCCATTGCAGACATCCCTTGCATCTCTCTGCTTCCCCCTTTTCTCTCCTCTCACCTGTCCATAACTCTCCTGAGCGCCCTCTCTATGTTCATGCGATGGCCAACTCGGGTCACACCCAGGTCCAGGTAGTCATCCTTGGTAAGAGAGGGCAGGTGCGTGCCATCAATTTCATTGTCTAAGAATCGCTCCCTGTGTTCACCCAGGTTCAGGTAGCCCAGCCAATCTGCAACATCATACTTGGTCCAGTATGGGAGAGGTTTTGAGGCAAAGGGCTTTGTGGGTGAGGGGGGTGGAAGATGGGGGTAACTCAGGCAAGTGGGTGGAGGAATGGGGTGGAGAGGTGGGGATGAAGTCCCTGACAGGAAGTGAGTGGGTGACAGGGACCGTGAGACCACCAGAGAGGAATTTGGAGGAGGGGGAGCACCCGAGGGGGCAAATAGAGGGGGGGAGGGGGAAAAGTAGGGGTCCCCAAGGGGATTGGCAGGTGAGGGTGGAGTAATAGAACCACGAAGGTCATACAGGCTGCTATAGAGGGGTGTAGTGGGGAGAATAGGAAGGGAAGAGGGGCGGGGAGGGCCAAGCTTGGGACGGTCAGATGGAGAAATTAAAGGGCTGGGTGCTCGTCTGCGCTGGGCATGATGCGACTCTGACTTTCGTGACTCTCGACTGGGAATAAATTGGAACTCCAGAGCTTTGGTGCGATAAACAGGCCGGTGTTTGGGTGAGGTGGGGTATGGTGAATATGATGAAGGGGAAACAGGTGAATGGGATCGGGGAGGGGGCTGGGATGAGGCAGCAGGGGGCTGAGGGGAAGGAGATCGAGCCCAGTTTGAGTAAAGTGGCTGGGAGGAAGGAGTGGGAGAGGGAGACAAGGCAGGCTGAGAGAGCTGAACTGGAGATGGGGAGCTAGAGCGGACAGAGGGAGGACTCAGTGCACCTGTTGAGTCCTCTGAGAACCTGAAATGAGAAAACAAATTAGAACAACAGAATAAAAGATAAGATAAAAAGATAGAATAAGAAAAAAATGACAGTTAAGAGAAAGAGAGAGCAACGAGGTATAGTGCAACAGTTACCTGTGTCTGATGTGGGACAGACAGACGTACATGGACAGTGCAATAAAAAGCAGAAATCACAAAAAGAGAGGAACAGTTTAAACAGACACAGTTACGCATTACACACTAGTGTTCACTGGTGTTTAAATCATTAATAAAAATTGGTAGGTACAAAACAATTTTACTGTTGCAAATGAACACAGGTTAGTCTATATTTCCAAAGAGTCCTTTAAAAGGCTCAGACTTTTACTGACTCATGGAATCCAAAAGCACACTATGCCCATGCAGCTGAGAGATTTTCATGCCACATGCCTCGCTTCAAGGCCACCATGCAGACACAAACATATATCCATGCACATGTACCTATACTATTGGTAACACAATTACCTATGTCTGCTCAATGATCTCTGGGCCCCCCAGTTCTCTGTTCCTTTACTTCTCTGCTGTAATTTGGTGCTTAGTTCATTAATGATGTTTGCTTTCATACCAGTCATGGGAGGATGTAGTTTACGTGGCTCCACATATGTTCCCACTATCTGGCCCCCTCCCTCCCCCATGGTCTGTGATGCTCCAGTCGACCCATCTCCCCACAGTGGTTTTATCTCTGGAGTGCGGGGCCGGTCAAAGTACATTACAGAGGAGCGAGCAATCCCTGGCCCTTCCCTCATCCCATAGCCATCACGGGCACTCAAATCCTCCTCCTCTACCTCCTCGGCCTCATCCTCTTCCTCTTCCTCCTCTCTACGACGGTGGTATGCAGGAGGTGCTGTGCTGGTCTGGCGTCGAAGATCTCCAGCCCGGGTGCCTTCTCTGTACCTCTGTGTTTTTGGGTAGGTGGATGCAGTGCTAGCGGCTTTGGCATTGTGCATTTCAAAAGTCTGCCCATCAAGGTAGCTCATGTAAGACTCTAAAAAGTCTGCCCCACTTGTCCTGTCAACCTCAGTTGCACCATCTCTCCCTCCAATTCCACCTATGCTACTCATCCCTGCTCGTTCCAACCTCTCTCTGACCCCACTACCACTGAGTGCAAGAATGCTGTCTAAGTGATGATCACTGCTGCTTCGGCTGTCCAGCTCCTCAATCCCAGAATCTACCACTGTCTCCTGGGACTCACCACTCTTGGTTGCACTAGGTGGTGGATGATGCTCTGCACTGGGACGCCTACTACCCCCTGTAGCTACTGTGGAGACAGTTGCTATGCGTGTGTGTGGTGTGGCAGCAGCAGTAGTACTAGGAGAGGTGACAGTTGTAGAAGCAGTTGTGGAACAGCTTGCGGTCACAGTTGAGGCACCTCTGATTGATACAGAAGTTGCAGGGGTGGATGATGCTGTTGGTGGCCCCCGGTAGGCAGGTGGAGCTGGAATAGAGAGAGGTGGGGTGGGAGAGGAGGAGCGTCCAGTTGTGTGTGTACTGTTGTATAAATGTTGTGACTGAGATAAGCCAAAAGGTCTATGGTAGCTGTTGGGTGGTGGAGGAGGTGATACAGAGGGAGGTGGAGGTGGTCCAGATGTCTGAAGGGTGGAGGGGGAGTGAGGTGGTAGTGGGTTGGGAGAAGATGGGGAGGGCGATGGGGCAGATTGTGTTAGGTTTGCAACCTCACTGTCATAGGAGGTAAGACTGGAAGTTGTGGAATCTCCTGCCTGAGGTGACGGTAGGGGTGTGTGAGCTGGAAAGCCTGTCATAAAGGAATCTTTCGAAGTGGGCGGGGGTGGTGGGGGAGGGGGTGGTGGAGGATGACGCTGCTGACGGGCTGCAACATTGTGAGAAATCATCGCAGAGTAACCCAAACCACGATCAAAACTATTGGCAAACTCTAGAGGTGGAGGAAGAGGATCAGCAAACACAAACTCATCATCTGCATCTACTGAGGGAGCTGGGGGAGGCAGAACCATCAGGCTTGTACCACTTCCACTTTCACCTGTGGCTCCTGCTGTAGGACGCATAGGGGCTGCTGTTGGAGGAGGAGATGGAGGCGTTAATGAAAGAATGTACGCTCCAGCTTCACTCTCCATCCTCAAGAATGAGGGGCGTCGAGGCTGCTGGGTCATTGGTTGTGATGACTGTTGCTGATACTGGGTTTGAGCTTTTTCTATTTCTCTTTCCCTCTCTCTTTCCCTCTCTCTTTCTCTTGACCTCTCTCTTTGACGTTCTCTTTCACGCTCTTTAAAGGTGGGCTGATATTGCTGAGATTGATAGTGGTGTGTGTGGACAGTTTTATCCTCGGAGAAACGAACCCTTAGGCCTTCTCTGGGAGCAGAGGTGCCAGCTGCTTCCCTATCCGCACGCTCTCCAACCCCAGCTTCTTCACTCCAGCTACTCCCTGCTCCACGCAGGATCCTAGGAGATGGAGGCCGAGTGGATGTGGTGGTGGCAGCTAATGATGAGGAGGTAACAAGATATGAAGAGGTGTTTGTGGATTGAGCAGCAGAGGAGGTTGCAGAGGAAGACGAGGCCATTGGGTAGGAAATGTGTGATGTTGGCTGTGAAGTGGATGAGGAAAAGGCCCCAATGCTTGACAACTGACGGGTAAAATGATGTTCAGTGGTCCTTTCCCTACGTATACGTCCATCATCCTTCAAGGCACGTTCCCGTGCAGCCAAAGCCAAGCCTAGAGGGGATGAAGGGTCCAGTACTTTTCCAGTTAGTGGGTGAATAAAAGTTGTGGTGGGGGCTTGCTGCTGCTGCTGCTGCTGCTGTTGTCTGGATCCTGCCCCATAGAAGTCAGCAGGTACAGACTTAGGCTGGTAATCCCCTTGAGGAGCAGGTGAGGAGTACTCAGGCAAGCCAAATGCAGGAGGCATACTGCGTGTGTGATGGATAAAAGTATCACCTGAGAACATGCCTTCATCTATAGATTTGGATGGTCGCAGGCGTGGTGAAGGCTGGGAACTCAGCTGCTGTTGAGAAGTCTGAGTCCGCCCTCCTGCTCCTCCAGCTCCACTCAACTCTTCCTCAGCAGAAAGAAAAAAGGAGGCACTCTTGCGTCGTGCTTCATGAAATCGTTCTCTGTCCCTGCGAGCTGCCCCTACAATGGCAGCACCAAACTGGCTGGTGAAGTCCAGACTCTCTTGAGTACGAAGTGATGGCAGTGATGGGGGTGGAGGAGCAGGTATAGATGGAGGGGCTGGTGGTGGCACGGTTGGTGCAGGTGGGGGAACAACAGGTTCTGGTTTAGAACTGTCACTTTCTCCTGGGGGCGGTGGTTCAGCCTCCACACTGCTGCCTTGGCTACTGCGTCCACTACTGCTGGTGGAAGGGGCTTTAACAATGATAGTTGGGATTGGAATAGAGCTCTTCTCCACTGACACCTTTGCTTCTAGAGTGTCTTGACCTTGACGCAGGTCTTCCACCTTTGACTGTTTCACCAAGGGCCCCTTTCCTCTACGAGCACCGCCTTTTGGTACACCACCAGCCCCTACCCCCATTCCACTCCGGTCCATTCTGGAAGGTTGGTTCTGAGTAGTCTGCTGCTGTTGTGGAATCACAGTAGCGACACTGGTGGGTGGGACTGCATTGCTGTAACCCCTTCTCAATGCTGCAGCTTTGGCCCCAGCCACTCCTCCAGCCCCTGCAAGATCTCCTGTGTACCCAATCACCTTCCTGGAGGCAGTCCTACTTGGTACAGAGGGGTGGGCTTGGGCATGGGAATAAGCAAGGTCCCCAGTTCCAGACCCAGTAGGTGGTCCAGGGGACCTGTCCCTTGGTCCGTGAGTAACATGTACTGACTGTGAGTAGAGTTGATAATGTGCAGCAGAGGAAGTAGACTGAGACATAGAAACAGACGGCTGTTGAGATGTCTTGCCCCTAAAGCCAAGCGGAGGAGCTGAGGAAAAAGGGGGCTCAGGGGGTGCTGTAGTAGGTGGAGGAGGGATTTCATCTGGGCCAGGTACTGAAAGACTACGGGCAAACTTCATGGCTGGAGGATGAAGAAACTGCTTCTCCTCCTCAGGAACCCCTGCAGAAAAAAAAAGATGAAATACATTTTCAAGAAAATGTATAAAGGGAGAATTAAAATAAAATGTTTCTAAACAACAAAGACGAAAGAAAAATATTTTTGGGAGACAAGATAAATGTACAACATTTGGAAGTGAGAAAATAACCAAAAAAGGAAAAGATATATTTATTTTCTAATACTGAGCAAAGGACAAACAAAACAGGATACAGAAAAGAGACCATCTTGTAGTCTGTCTGTCTGTCTGTCAGCTTGTCTGTTTATTACCATGACTGATCAATCTCCGAACATGTACAAGCTAACCTCCTTACATTAGCAATGCTGTTTTATGTTAGTGCAGACAAATTTTAGTTACAGTCTGTTATATTAAGACAAATACAACACACACACAATGTCTACAGTACTTGATGGCACAGAAAGTGACACTAACAATAGCTACCCTCTCAGCATGCAAAAGAAACAGGTATTGAGGTTGTTATCTCTAGTGCACATAAAGGTTCCAATTTTGTAAACTAAGAAAGTAAGAATTTACATATTTAACATCACATGAATGTTTTTTGCCTTCATGCCATGGGATAGCAAGCATTTTCCCTGTACAGTCAGTGTGCTCTTATTATTATTATTATTATTATTATTATTATCTTGAGGGTTATAAATGGGCTGTCAATTTTATAGTTCAACCAAAAAGGAACACTGATGCTGAACACCAAAAGTAAAAGATTCAAAAATAATAATAATAACATTCAAATTTGTTTTAATAATTGGTTTGTCCTAGATCCCAGTCAAACCCCTGACAAGATTCCTATGAAGTGTTTGAATTGTACAGTCACTAATCTGGAGCAATAAAGCAATACAAATGATAAGCATTAAAGCAAACCCACAGCTGCACTCTTTGGAGTGCTCTCAACGCACGTACCATAGACGTACACCAGTATGGTTAAACAGACACACAGGTGGGCAGACAGACAGATGGACAAACAGACAGCCTCACCGATAGACTTCTGTCGCAGCATACCGTGCGGGGGGCCATGGCCAGACACAAATTGACCACGGTCGTAGCCTAACCCTGCCCCAGATGATGTCATCCCCATTCCAGTTTGGTCGAAATTTGGCTGGCAAAAGACATAATAAATGTTAAAAATAATAATATACATTAAATTATACCAAGATTTAAAAGAATGCAATTTAGAAATCTCTAGTAACTACTGTACGAGCTCACACACAAACCTCATTATAAAAGCCTCTGCCCCGTTCTCTTTTTACCCCCTGAACCCGGGGCCCTGGAGCCTCATTTGTATTAATGGTCTGCTGTGCTGCTGCTAAAATCTCATCCAGTTTATCTGACAGAGAAAAAGAAACATGAAAAAAAAGAATGATTTCGTTCATTCACTTACAGTACAACTTTACATTCTTAGCTTTAATTAGGCCCCATTTACGCGAATACGTTTTAGTTTTAAAATGCGTAAGTTTTGCTACAGTTACACCATTACACCAAAGTTTTCAAGCACCAAAAACTGAGCTTTTGCTGAAGAGGTTGTTTTCATTTTAAAACGCTGCTGCTGCGTGTCAGTGTGGATGGAGGAAAACAGAGACATCTGAAGACGGAGGCGGGGCTGCAGACATTCATCTATCTGATTGGGGCTTTTCCTTAATATTAAGTTGCCTACACAAACTTCAGTCTTGCATCTCCTTATAAGTTCAGACTTTGCAAGTTTGATATGGAAAACTCCCGAGGACACATCGGGGAAAACTTCAGAATTAAGGAACATGAACTTTATAACATCATTCACATTACCCTAACTACGTTGTTCCACTTTCTTAAAAATAAAACGAAAACATGATTTGAGGAACTGCCTCTTTTCATTTTGATATTAGCAACTTAACAGACACCAAAAATGTTGAGATGTCCTGTAGCTAAATATTTTTATGACTGTCATCTTCACTGTATGCATATTTATAACAAAACAAAGCCTATAACATAACTACCTCCTTTCATTCTCATTGAAAATACGAAACATACCGTCTCTTTTGCTGAATATCAGATTTAATAATCAATAATAACCTTTATAAATGTATAACATACAATATTTTTATACATTATAAGAAATAAATGCAAGCAATCAGTCAAATGTGCAGAATCAGTGTACGTGGTTACATTAATTAATATTTTAACTTATTTTTGTGCTCAGCCAAAACAAGTTACCTGAGAACAAGAAATAGATTCAAAATACGAGGGATATGTTGTTAGATAGAGAACAAAATGAATTAAATATCACATTTAAGAAATATAGTGAGATTAGATCCAGCAGTAGATGCTTGATGAACGGTCCGATGTGCACAGCTCTCATTGCTGCAGTGCATGCCAGAGTGTGTGTGTGTGGTCACGTGATGTGCATTTTCATTTGAATAGTGTGGATGAAGAGTTGTTCAGAAACGCTAGGTGAAACGCCAATGTGGACGCAGATCGTTTTCATTCTAAAACTAAAACGCATTAGTGTAAACAGGGCCTTAGGAATTGTTGACTCAGAATGAACTTTTCCATACAATGAAAGTCTTTTTTGGTCACAATAAAATAAATTTAACACATCCAGGGGTGCATTTTCCAAACAACAACATAAATCACGGCTGAAACAGTACGATGCATCATTTGGGAAAAGAACAAAGTCGTGAAGGGTGTTTCCCAAAACCATAATTGCTTTGTCGCAGATCCATCGTTTGAACCATGTTAGTTATAACATAAAACGTCCATAATGATGCTCTTAACGGGGTAGTAACTACTTCTTTACAGAAAATACCCCATACATTTTTTATTTTTTTTTGCAAATTATATGCTTTTACATGGACACACATTTTTAAAAAAATACAATATTAGTTTTGGTAAAAACATGCGCTTGTTACTATATTATTTGAAATATATGGAAATGGCACATATAGGAACTATATATGTTTCCTCAACAAATATTATTTAGAATATTCCATATGAAATCACTTAACTAACACGTATTCTAATCTCATATATAAATCATATTAATCGTTAATGTTTGCAGGCCTAATGTACAGTAGGCCATTTATAAGGAAATTAAAAAAATCCTACCTAATAACGATAATAATAATAATAATAATAATTTATTATTATTGTTGTTATTATTATTATTATTATTATTGTTATTATTATTATTATTATCAATTTTAAGTAGGATATTGTTTTTTTAAATGTTTTTTGAAAAGTCTACTTTTGCAATTTGACACATTCAAACCACTGTAGAAAAATTCTAACCAACAGGCCCATGTCACATACAGTACAGATATAATTATTAATAAATAACCTACTATAAATTAAAATCATTAACGTATGCTTTATATTTTGTTTTCACAAGCTTTGGAGATGTAACTTAAATTCCACTTTAAATAAGTCACCTATAACTTTCGTCATGAGCCACGGCTGTGTTCAAAATGGCATAAATGTTTTCAAAGTGTATTACGTAAGGAACACAATTGTCAATATTAAGATAGTTTAAACTGAAATGTAAAAATACTTTGAAAGCAAATTGCACCTAAGAGAGATGACTAAATTTTTATTTTAATCATTCCAAGTTTAAATATTAGAATGTTGAATAGGGCTTAGGGGGATAATGGGGAATAGAACACAACCAGGAACTATGCTTCTAACTACAGCTCTAGAGGTGTAGTTGCAAGTGTACAAGTTTGTGACGCAGTTTGCGAATGTTGGTTGGAACAATGGATTTGGGAAATGCCAAATCAATGAACTGTTTGTAACAACGGAACTTGCGACCTCTGTTAGCTAATGATGGTTTTTGGAAATGCACCCCAGATAAACTCAGAAAATTTTGCATATTGTTCACAAGACTTTCATCAGTTTTCACTGTATGGAAGAGAGTAGCTCATGCTAAACTTCTCTTTGGTTCTCAGCCACAGAATTACATAAATGCAAATAAATGATGAGAGAATTTGAATTGTTGGTTGAACAGTCAATTTATTTGCTAACTTTATGTATTTCTTAGATGTATTGTATGTGTATCTTACTCAAAGCCATCTGATAAACTGTCCTCTTCTTCTCTGTAGCTTGTGAAGATTCGAACTCTGTAACAGCCAGACAGATTTTATGTCATAAACATTTGGCAAACCCATTAGATGAGGTGTTTCATAAAAGAAAGAACGAAACAAAATGCATTACCTGATTTTTTTTTCCATGGGGCAGAGGCTGTGATCAAGCAAACAGAGAGTCAATGTAAGGTTGAACACCACCAGCCTGTAGTAATACTCTTTTAATACTACAATCACATTATCATCAACTATCAAGTTAGCAAGAGATTAAACACTATTTTTTTTTAATTTAGGTCAGACACTACACTCAAATCCAGAATGTGCACAACAGTTCATGACAACATCAAAGAAATGTGAATCTGAAGTGCTTCTTACCTCTGTCCACTGTGTATGGAATGCCAGGACAGACAGAAAAATTAGGGAGGTTACAAGACAGGTTAGTAAGACATGTCACCAAAAACAACCCTTGCGTTCAAAGTGTGCAGGAAAGGTTTTTAAAAGCCACGCGTGACAATGTAGGGATTGTGTATCTGTGTAAATTTTTCTTGGCGCACATAAAGCTGAGGGATTCTACAGGAATTAAAAGAGGGGTCTACAGTATAGGCTATTTTTAAGGAATACTTAAGTTTTTTCTTTTTTAAATATAGCTCATTTTACAACTCCCCTACAGTTAAACAGTTGAGTATTATCATTTTTAATCCATTCAGATGATCTTGAAACTTGGTGGAAGCACTTTTAGCTTAGCTTAGCTTATTTTAGTATAGCTCCTTGAATCAGATTAGAATATTAGCATCTCGCAAAAAAATGACTTTCGATAATTTTCCTAAAGCTTGACTCTTCTGTAGTTACATTGTGTACTAGGACCAACGGAAAATTAACATTTTTTTTAAAACAACTTTGATGATGTACCATAACTGCAGCAGGCACAATGATTTATACAGCACATGAAAATAGTCTCTAGCTAGGTAACTTCCAACTGGTCTACCTGCTTGCACAGGGTGGGTGTGCCAGTTGTGCTGCCTAAGGGTGTACTCTCAATAGGCTCGGTCGCCTTGAACCGTGCTTCGGTTCTTCCCACCCCTATCCCCCGATGGCCTGCACTCACACTGCATCTTTACCTTCCGAGCCCGAGCAATATTACATCATTGATGATGCGACTGTTCCGTTTAACAGAAGAGAAGCGCTCTCGCTCTGTACAATAGAGATTGGTTTAGTAATATTGTTTTGTATTATTTGAAACTCTTTTGGTCATTTTTAAGCAAGATGCTAAAGGTATTTTCCAATTCAATGATCTATGCTAAGCTAAGCTAAAAGTGCTCCTGCCAGACCTGGGACCAGTTTTTAAAAATTGTAATCTGGATCAAATTGGTCCAGATTTGAAAATCCCATGTTTTTCTATCCAGGATTAACTGATCTATCTTTCTTTTATGATAGTTTTTAAAGGAACATTGGGTTCAATCATTGTTACCAAATCCTGCTTACCCAAGCCTTAATGGAACCAACAGTGTGGAACTAACAGTTGTCACAAACAGCCATTGTTTGTTTTAATAGTAAGAAACAGAAACACTGCAATCAACAAACGTTAAACATTTTTCAGTTCGTTCTAATTCAATAATGCTTTGATATTGTTTTGTTGTTGTTTTTTACCATATCTCATTAGATTAAACATACTTCATAAAGGCTTCAAATATGAAGGATTTTTTTTTATATTATCAGTAACCCTTAATATTTTTTGTTTGCTTTATTTCGTTTAAAACACGGAATCCACCCTTCTGATGTGATCAGAATAATCCTGTTTATTTATCAAATAGATCCCAATCTGAGTTCAAAGTTTTAAATAACCCAAGGTTTGATCTAAATCAAATGTAAGATTGGATTACATCTTAATTAAAAATCCCTCTGTTACTATTGAAAAACCCGTTGCCAAGATGTGATCTAATTTGTGATCCAAAATCCCACTGGATTACTTTTGAAAAACTGGGCCCTGGAAATCGCCTGAATGAAATCTAAATGATAAAACTCAAGTTTAACTCTAGGAGAGTTTTAAATGAGCATATTTTAACAAAAACAAGTGGAGTATTCCTTTACGACTAATCATCTGCCCTTTTGTCTTTATAGAGTCATTTCTGTCTTTTTTTCATGTAAGTGCTTCCGCCTTTTATAAGGTGCTAGTGCAGAGAGACATTCATGCTACAGCAATCTCTGCTATCTTTAGAGCACGGCAGCCAGTGAGGTGGGATGCAATACCAGGTGGAGAGGTGAGGGCGTCTGAAAAGGTGAGAGCTCTTCACTTACACTAAATTGCTGCATTTGATTAGTCACATGGTAATAGATAATGCAACACCTGCACACATTAACCACCTTAAACACCTTCGGTACAATGAGAAGATACATCATTATAAGTACTCAAACAGCACTATAGGTAACAGCAGACACAGATTACTCTTATGCCCTGAAATAGTCTTCTTTCATCAAGTCTAGCCTGAAAAGTAGATTCTGGACAAAAACACCCGCTTAGACAGGAAGGCACCCCCTGACTGAAAATCTGAAAGAATTATGGTTGGTTGTTCTACATGTGATGTTTAAAGCTGCATGTAATGATCTAAAGATGTCACACACAGTAATCTGGTTTGCTACAGTGTTATTTCATTTAAAGGGTCACGAAACACCCAAAACACATTTTTTTTAGATGTTGACAGTTAAATATATGCCACACATTGCTAAAAGCACAATTAGGACACATATATTTAACTAAAAAGTGAAAATTGGAAGTTTTTGTGTTGTTTAGAGCAAATTTGTTTCTTTCGGTTTAAACAGAAATGTTAAAGCCACGTCAAAGCAATGAGATCATTGTGTAAAATCCAGCGTGGAGATACAAAGTGACGTCATTGAGCTTTCAGCACATCTATTCATTAATTCATAAGAAAGACTTGGTTCGTACCAATCAGCGCACTCTATTGTGAACGTGATGCAAATTCATTAATTTGCATGAAATAGCTTCGAAGACTCTTTTTACCTGTTACAGTGTTTAGAGAGACGCCACGTTGTGTTGCCAACTTTAATTAAAGAGAATTGTTCGGAGACATGGGTCATTGATGTTTCTCTTTTTAAATGTGCTGAAACAAAAGTTTTGTTTCCATTTTCCCACAATGAAAGCACAGCTCGCTAACACGCGACAAAAATATGTTCGAAATTAAAAAAATGTACCCGAGAGCTTGGTAAAATCCAGATTTGCCGCTCGTCTTCTTTTTAAAAAAAATCTCTACGCATTTGGTAAGTGTGTGATCAAAGTTCTCTGTTTATGTTTATTTAAACGGCAAAATTAGTATCATCAGCAGTATTTTTTTCAGTTTTTGAAGATATACCTTAGTCAAAATTATTTAGTTACTAAGTTTACAGTAATATCACTGTAATATTATGGACTGAAACTCCTCCACTTCCACAAAACTCTTCCCCTTTTCATGCAAACCCTCTTTCGTCACTCGACACTCCCACCCAAACAAAGCTGGACTCACCCACTTTCCTGACTTTTTTTTAAACTAGTGGTGTAAAAACACCCCGCTGAGACAGGAGGGGTTTCATGGCCCTTTAAATATTAGAGATGCACATATATTAAGTTTTGACTGAAAATAACTGCTAAGAATATTGGGGTCAGTAAGATTTTTAAATGTCTTTTTTTTTTTTTTGGAAAAAGTTTGAAATGTTCAAAAAGGCTTTTGATTATTTTTTAAAACAAAGTTCAGTACAAACAGTGGAGTAACACAACATTTTATTTTACTGTATGTTAAGGAATAATTTTAGATAGCCAGACTTTTAGCTTAATTGTCACTTGATCATTCAGAAGTTATTCTAATATGCTATTTTGGTGCTCAAGAAACATTTATTATTATGATATTTATGTTGAAAATGCTACTTAACATAGAAGAGCAGCAATTATTCTAAATGGTATGGTTTCATAACTATATATTAGTCTTTCCTCTCTGTATACATATTATGTTCACTCTTGCTAGAAGAAAATAATAACAACAAGATACTGTCCCCAAAAGTTTGAATAGTAGTGTTCATATATTAGACTACTAAACCAATGTCAATAAGACAGCCAACATATTGTCCATTCCTACTCATATTCTTAGCAATGACATATACTTCAATATAATAATCTGGCAAACATTTCCTAATGCGTTTGGTGTTGTATGTTTCTTTAGGGACTGGATAATGAACCCGTTCTCTCTGATTTCTATAAAGTGCATAGAAATGAACCCGTTTGACTTTAGTCAGTACTCACCATTACTAAATGTATAACCCACACACTAATCTGATTACTGAAATGCTAGAAACTGGGCTTAAGAGAGTGTTGATCTACAGTAGACACTGTGCCACAAGGGACAGTGAGCTGTGAGACTATTGTTTGGGCTGAAGAGAAGAGAGAAGGGTAAAAACATGCCTCAGTGGACTAGACAGGTGAGGACTGGTTCATAGGGGAAGGTTTATACAATGATTTGGATGACAGTAAGAAGACTTTTTGTAGCTGGTGGGAAACTGAAATGATTGAGCCTGATTGCCTTGATGTTACAGATGCCTGATTGGTAAGCTAAATGATTATAAGTCATGATGGCATCTTTTGCCAGCACATACTGCCCCTTTTTTGCTATGCCCACCATATTACTACAGCACTAAGGAACCAGTAAACCATAAGGGAAGTGCTATAGATTGAGGTTTAGGGTTAAAGCTAATAAGGGTTGCAGGTGGAGGATTGAGGGAGAAGGTGGGAGGCGGGGTGGGGGATATAAAGGTTGGTAGGGGACAGTTTTTGGGGGTTACCTGTAGTGGGGGTGCTGGTAGTGACAGTGTGGAACTTCTGAAAGAACAGTGAAAGAACATTCTTAATGCTGTCTCTCTCTCTCTTTCTTTCGTTTCCTCTGTAACTCTATGCCATCCAGTTCTAACTCTTCTCTCCATCAGTTTCTTCTTCTTTTCATTATTTGTTTCACTGTGATAGTTTACTCTGCCATTCACTCTCTCTTCTTCAATCCCTTTCCCTTCTGATTGTTTAAACTATTCCATTTAGCTCTTTCATCCTCTCTTGCATTTCTCTCATCTCTTCACTGTCATCTTTCTTTCTCTCTAAACCTTCTGGTTCTGTCCTCTAGCGCAGTGATTCCCAATCGAGGTAAGCAAACCCCAGGGGTTACATAAGCAGGGTGTGCTTAAAATGATTTTTTCTTTCTAAATGATTTAAAGAGAAATTAATCTTTAAATGTATTAAGTTCAAATATGAATGTAATTGTTTACTGTTCGGGATTTGCAATATGGGACAAAGATGACTTATTTCTAGCATTAAAACAATAAAAGTGTAATACAGATTTAATTTTTTATTTAAGTTTTTGTACATAAGAATGCTTCTTGTTTGTTTTAAGCAATAATAATGAATATTTTACCAAGATTTACAGAAGACTCTAAAATGTCATTCAGTTTAACAATAGTTCACATTTCAGACAATATTGTCAGGCATATTTGGAACAGGAATAATTTGAAGGAATATTAAAAGATTTTCCATCACAAAAAAATGCCACATTTTTTATTACATTTAGAAATATTAATTAAAAATATATAAATTATAAATAGTTAATAATATTATAATACTATATTTAACAGCATTACTTTGTTTACTTTAACGTTATTAATTGCAGCCTTAGCAAGCATAAAAAAACTTTGGAACGCTATTAAACATACAGTATAAATCACATACAAACATCTGACAGGCTTTCTGTGTCAATTGATTGAATAATAAAGCCTTGAGATCATTTCTGGTTTGTTCTAATAAAAGGGGGTCAGTAAAGTTTGGGAAACACTGCTCTAGGATTTTTAAAACATATTTTATTCTCTCATTTCCCCCATCTTACCCATCTCTTCCAGCTCTGATGTCATGGATTTGGAGCGCAGAGCGATAGCCGGTGTGCTCAGTCTTTTACTCTGCTGTGGGACTGTATGTGGAGGAAAAGAGTGAGACACCAATGTCATCATCATCTCACTTCTTTTTTTCCTATGCAGTATGAAATTCTATCCCTTACTTTTCTTTCTGACCCCTTCCTCCATATCAGGATTTCGAGTAACCATGACAACCTTGACCATGAGACTGTTACCGCCTTGCCTGATCATATTGACCACCTGCCTGTGTCCCACCTTAACCACATTCTGACCATTCACCTAGAGAAGAAACAGAGAAAACACACAGAGAGTCCTTGAGTAATGAGGACAATTCTAGAGAGACTCAAATAAGGAGGACCAGAAACAAAGGTCCATGATGTGGTTTTGCAGACACCTCTATAAGGAAGTCTCCCATTCGCAGACCAGCTCTCCAGGCCACGCCTCCCTCGTCGACAGACTCAAGGTACTGCAGTGCTGGAAAGGCTGGGGTGGGAGTGAACTCTTCTATAGGGGTCTGAGCTACAAAAAGAAACAGGACATTTATGTAATCAGTCGAGCGTGGATAACCAAAATGTTCTCAATTCATCATTCACACACCCTGGTGTTGTTCTAATACCATATGCTTGGTTTTTCAAAAACTAATTTCACCTCAGACAGACCTTTTTCTTAGTTGGATTTGGACATTCACTGCTGAATTAGATCATGTTCTGAAGTAGAAAGTAATTTAGTTCCTATAACAAAAATAATTTCCAGTGCCTGCGATGTAAACCACACCAAAAGCATGTTCTTCTGACCATAGTTCTACACTGTAAAAGATCCTGGTTGCCTTAAATTTTTAAACTGAATCAAGTTAACCTTATAAATCCATTGAACTTATAATATGTTAAACTGACTTTAAACAGCTCGCGTAACTTATATAATTAGGTTAGGCTGTCAGGACAAACTAATCACATAATTTTTATACAGTGTAGGAACTGTGGAAAAGTTCAATAGTATCTGGATGCAGCCTTTATGATGCAAGCGGAGATTGCATCCCTTAGAGATGCAATGTCAGACACAATGCACTCAATGGAGCTAGTGACGTCACTGTGACAAATAGGGTTGGGGGTGGGGTTAGGTGAGCCCATTCAAAAGCATGGCATGCAGCGCAGATTGCATCTGCACCAAGTCTGCAGCCAAACCCATCTTGAAAAGTTTCCTGAGTGTGAAAATCCCCATGATGTATCACATTGGACCATTTTGAGTCGAAGAAGGACATTTGTGGGGTTTTTCTGCGTGTGTGTGTGTGGTTGAAGGACCTACTGAATTTGAACAATGCCAGAATGAGTAATTTACAACTTAATTGGGGGAACTATCCAAGATTTAGAATACATGTCAAATCATGAATATGCATATAACAATGAACAAATTGATGAACGGTGATGAAAGTCAAATGTCCTAATTCCTATTTTGGGAAGCATTGTGTATGTGTATGTGTATGTGTGTGTGTGTGAGAGAGAGTGAGTGAGTGAGTGAGAAAGAATTTGAATGAATGTGAACTTTTATGCTGTATGTGAATAACTTAATGACTTTCAAGGGGGTTGAGAACATTTCTGCGAGTGGCTTCTGAGGCACAGTTAATTGTAGTTAAATGATGTTAAATTAACACAAATTAAATTTACACTACACAATTTTTTTTGCCACAGTTTTTTTTTATAATATTAAAGTAGTTTCATCAAACAAATGGTTTTTTGGAATATGTTTTTGATGATCCTGTTAAATACCCATTGACAAATTTGTGATCTTGTTGCTGCAGTCACAATGAGTTTGACCATGTGCAATTTCCACAGCACTACAGAAGTTATGATATGACTGCAGCTTCTTTTGTAAAAAATTAAACAATGCAAACTGTAAGAAACCCAGTATAGTAGAAAATTCAGTCTAATCCACTTTCACTTTCTTTTTATCCTGCAACAAGGTCATGCCTTTAGGTATTGATCTTCTATTGGCATCGTGTATGGATTTGGCCAGTACAGTTTGTTACTTAAGGAATAAAGTGAAATGTTAACAATCATTTTATGGCACTGAATTCCTAATTTCTACCATGTGTATGCCTAGAAATGGAAATCAATTTAATTAAATCATTTACTGAAAAATGTAGTTCATTTAAGACCCACTCCAAATTTATTTTTCCTTTCTCTTTGGGGTTTAAAGTCTTATTTAATGACCCCCTTTTTTCTTACCCTTGGCTCCTCTCAGCACAAAGCCAAAACCTTCATTGTCTTTTTTCTGCAGGAGGACTGTCTTCTCCTTGATTATGTAGTCACTGAAAGAAAGAAAGAAAGAAAGAAAGAAAGAAAGTGGTGAAGTATAGAGCAGAAGTGAGAGAGAAAAAAAGAGGAGAGCTGGTAAATATCTCCATAGCATCAGTAAATCCTGAAAGATCTATTGAGTGAAGAACGTGATGAGAAGATGGTCAGAGGCCAGGGGAAATCTGAGTACAGTATATAAACGCATACATTACAAGACAGCTTGTATTGACCTTTAAAGGAAAAGTCAGCCTTCTTTTCAAGGCTGAAATTGTCATTTTAATGTTATTTAACAAAAAGGAAGCAAAGATCTCACACAATGTACTATGATCTGAACATTTCTGCTTAGGTCTACACAGTGAAGTTAAAGGTGCAGTAGGTGATTGTCTTCAGAAATATTTTTTGTTGTGCTGGTTAAAAGTCTCTTTACATTTCAATAGTAATGATTAAAGTAAATTATCTAAATGTATTAAAACAAATATTCGTCCAATACAAATTTGTCAGGTTGACAATTCCCTCAATTCTGATAAGTAGCCCAAACTGTCTGTCAACAAATGTAGATTTGTACATCTATGCATCCCTGTTCATGCAGACTGATTTTATGAATGGGTTATATGCACAGAAGTGTTGTTCAGCCACTGAAATCTTCCGGTGAAAGATTGATGTGACTATTTTCTATTTCATAATGGACCTTTTACAGCATTGATAATGTAGATTTTTATTTAGTTTGGCAACAAAACATAAGTATAAAACGCTATTCCACCTAGCCTGCTTTACTGAGGTAAAGTTGGTTTTATATTCACATCACATTGGTTCATTTTTAAACAGTTACAGCCTGTGACACAGGTTCCCTATATTGTTTAAGAAAACTACTTTGAATATTCGGTCTGAAATAGCATGTAAGTATGGCTAAGTCCTGCACCCTGCAGGCCAAGCACCAGTCGTTTTAGAACAAATTGCAAGAGAGTGAAACCAGCAATGCTTGCATGCATGAAATTTTGCACATTATGACAAGTTCTGCTTGCTACACAACTGAAAACATGCTAGATATAATACAATTTATTGTTCGGAATTGTAGTATTATAAAGTACAAAATATAAAGTTGACAATTACATGATCTAGTGCAGGGGTGTCAAATTCAATTCCTGGAGGGCCGAAGCCCTGCACAGTTTAGTTCCAACCCTGCTCCAACACACTTACCTGTAGGTTTCAAACAAGCCTGAAGGACTCAATTAGTTTGATCAGGTGTGTTTAATTAGGGTTGGAACTAAACTGTGCAGAGCTGCGGCCCTTTTGGAACTGAGTTTGACACCTGTGATCTAGTGGTTCTCTGTCTTGTTTAAGGTGCGCATTCAGGAGACATGGCTTTGGTCAGCATGCAGGAAAAGGACTGTGTTCTCAAAGCTATTATGCTCACGGATAGCATTTTGGCAGATCACCACTGCACCTTTAATCTGTAAAATTACCAACCTAAAAAATAAAAAAAAATAGTAATTGTATTATCAATTCTAAACCATATATCAAAAAAAATCCTAAGCTACTTTCACTTTCACAGTTACAACAAGATATTCATTTAAACATGAACCTTTTGAATGTAAACAATAAAGAACACAAGCACCAGAGCTCCTACAAAAATATAAAGCAGCACATTTGATAATAGAAGTAAAGCTTCAAGATCATGTTTATATTTAAAGTAAATTTGGCTCAATTGTTGATTTAATTTACCACTGTTTCAAATTATACAAATTAACATAATATTTTTACTCTGATAGATTGTAAGTTGAGATGACTAGAAAAGTTTATTTGATTAAAGTAAATAATATAAAACGACATTTTTACAGTTTATGATTTAATTATATACATTAATTTACATTTAGTCATTTAGCAGACGCAATGGCCAAAGTGACCTACAATTGAGGATAAATTCAGCAATTCAACAAAAGGCAATACACACAAGAGGTGCTAATTAAACAAAGGAATCAACATTTAAATACAAGTCACAATATTACTGTTTATGCTAGGGCTGCACAATACTGAAGAACAAAATTGTAACATTTATTCATTCATAGCAATATATACTGTGAAATATGAAATATAAGTATTTCCATCAAATGATTTGTAAATAGTTTTTAACTGCTGAATAAAACTGGATACTTGCAATAGCTTTAATAAAACTCTACTTCTAAGTGAAAAGCACTTGAGTCAGAGAATATCATAATAATTATTTGTGACATTTGCTAGAAATTTCTGACATTTGTTAAAGTAAATACTTTATCACAAGTGTTTAATGATTTAAAGGCCACATTCCCTCTATTTTGACCAATTCAGTTAGCCTATGACTATAAACTTACTCATTTTACACTTATCAGGGGCATATCATTTTAAACTGATCATTATATTTGTGTTGTGATTATTAATAAAGACAAAATACCAAAGATTATTACTAAAAATCCAAATTCTTTTATTTTTTACAATTTGCAGACCAATTAAAATATGCACTGCTGGTTTCACAGTTTCAGGGATATTGTATAACGCAGTCCAATAAAAAAGATTTGAATTGAATGGTTGTGTAAATAGAACACATAGTGGTTGTGCAGATGTCCTCAGATTTTTTTAGCCCATTCAATCTTTTGATTTACTTATGGCAATGTGTAAATATTAAATCAGTTTTTATCTTAATTTCAGTAATATTATTAAATAATTTGCAAATGTTTCCAAGATATATGTACATTTTTCAGCATAAATGAGTAAACCCCAATTTCTGAGTGAACATAAATAATATATTTTGATGCATTTGAGCAAAACAGATTTATTATAGAGATATATTTAAAGAAATAACATTTTAGTTGCCAAACCTCTTTAGAAATAAATTACATTTAATACATTTAGATACATTTAAATTCAAGTTAAATATTTTCAAATAATTGTATATATTTTTTTTTGTTTCTCTAGATTTATCATCTTTCACAAAATTAATTTCATATTTTTCTGTAACAAATACTGGGCTTCAGTACTGACTAATCTAATGTATATGCTCAAATATAACATTGTAAAGCATCTTATAGAAAATATTAATGTAAAAGATAGATTTGTGAGGGATGTACTTATGCTGAGAACTGTACAATTTATATTGTTATAGTTTTTTCTGTCTTATTTTAAACCAAAACATTTGTTCTACATGGATTTGCATTGTAAAACTTAAATAAACGTTAAAATAGTTCAAATCTGTTAAAAGATAAAATCTGTGGGAATAATCGTATGATTAGTGTGTCAACATGTTACACTGTTGTGCTCACAGTGACCCAAGTTCGATTCCCAGCTCAAATTCCTTTGATCTTTCCCCTCTCTCTGCTTCCCATACTTTCCTGTCAATACACTCCATTGTACTGTCCAGTTAAAGAGTGAAAAACCCCTAAAAATAGTTATTAATAATAAATAATAAGAAATGTCAACAGATTCCATCTGGTCCTGCATATAGGCCATCAGTCTGTACACTTTCTCTTTCTGTAACACTGAAAGTTACATCCCGATAGTCTCTTTCATTGACAGCAGAGCCCCAGTGCCCGACTCTACACAGCTTTGTTTACAGTACTCATGCTCTTACGCCAACAACCGTACTGGTGTTCAGAACACAATATCCCCATCCTTCAACTCAGTGTTGGGCAGACTAAACCAGCTGTATTCTCTCACTGGCCCAGGAAAGAGGAGGAACTAGAACCGATCCAAAGACACGACGACAGGTCAAACAGCACATGGTGATTCTCCTTCTCTAAACAGCATCACAACAACTCTTTGGCAGGAAACCAGTCATTTGAAGGCTGTCTGAAGTTCATCCATTGCATAAACCTCGACAACATCGTGCCAGTCATGAGTGTAGCTAAAATGGCCACACAGCAGTGGACGGGACAGTCATGGTGTCCTGTAGTTTAGGAAAAAGACTGCATATATTCATTTTGTTTACATGTGAACTGGGTAATATGTAGCTGTGCACAGCAAGTGATATAGTATACGCACTTGGCAGACATATTGAATAGATTTAGTCATTCGGTATGCCAATGAACACCACGAAGAGATCTCAACAACACGCCCAAGCATAATGTTTTCAAAATCAAATCACAGTGAGCAGCGCCGTACATCACTGGTCACAACAAGAATATACAAGAAGAATATACAAGAAAATATAGCATAATGGCAAAAGCCTGCTTGTTATGTCTGAGATCAGTTTGATTTTAATAGAATGTATGTAAACATAAATAAATTAGTTAAACAAAAATGTTAGTTTCTGCAAATATAATGTTTTTTTTATAATTTATCAATGATACTTTTTGTGATAATATGTCATTTTTGTTAAAAGAAAGAGTAAGTGTGGCATTTATATACAGTTAAAGACAAAAACTCAAAGCCATCCTGTGGAATTTTAGTTGGGATGCTCTGATCAAGATTTTTGCAGTCGATACTGTCTACCAGTACCTTGTCATGGTGATCGGCCGATACTAAGTACCAATGCTGATGCTTTAAGCTTTATAATGCATAAAGCCCTCTTTCCCTCTAAGTATGATACTTATGTGGAGATCTCACCTTACCTAGGAGAATAAAGGAAGGATGCTGCATATAATCCCTTAAACATATCTCTTATAACCATTCATGGCATGGCCAGAAGCAGCTTTACAGGAGATAATAAACAGCAAAGATGTCAGAAAACAATGCAATTTGAAAACACTTAAAATTATGAAAGAAGAATTTAATGTCTCAATCAAGAAAAAAGTTGAGCGCATATTTGATGCATAAAAAGTTAAAATGCACTCCTCTGAATCCGCTACTTACTAAAAGGAAATAGTTCTATAAACTACTGTTTATTGCAATAAGCAAACTACAAGGCTGCATGTACACTGCAGATCTTGATGGTCAATTCCGATTTTGTGCCTGTATCCAATTTTTTTGTTGACCTGCTTATATCATCTTTTAAATGTGACTTGTATCTGATTGGCTGCATTTACACAGCACAAGACAAAGGCGC